CTAGGGGAACAAATGTTATTTTAAAATGTGTGATCTTACAACAAATGGCCGAGCCAGGATGAAATTAAACTAATTATTCGTTCTCAGTTGGATATCATTCACATTGTGCCCACTAAAAAGTTGCTGAAAATTCAAGGTGTATTAAAGAACAAACCAACTTTTCAAATGCATAAGGTTTGTCCTTGTCCTCATTTCTTTCTGTATTTTCCTGTTGAAATGCTTAAATATTTGGCGTGCCTTAATTATCAAAATAATGTTTGTCCCATGAATCATCATAATGAATTTTTAGAAATAACTTGGTTTAAACATGCACAATGTTTTAATGCACGAGGATTCTTTAGTTATTAGACACATTGCACAGCTAATGCAATAGCTAAAAAGCCATTGCATCTAGACATTTGCAACCATTGTCCAACATATGTAGATCAGCTGAGGTTACTTTGAGCAACTGGATCCTCCATGGCAAGATGTTAATATACTCATAATTTACCATAGTAAAAAGAGGTTTTTGTAAATCATATGCATGTGCCTTTTGTTCATGAATCACATAACAAGCGGAGGTAGGATTTGAGAGGCACCTCAAAGCTCTGATTATCCTGAGTGTCTCTGCCCAATAATGTTACCTGCTGGGACAGCAGGACTGCTCCTCTAAATAAATTGCGAGTGGCCCTGGGCAATAAGAGGAACCGTCCTTTGATCTGACTGACTGCCAACGAGGAAAATGTGCAGGCAGTCAATCAAGCTCACACGGCTTTGCAACAATGGAGCAGACCCCGGTTTATTATTTATTTTTTAAATTGTTGTATTTCATTATCACAAGGTGTCTTGGTGTGGAGGTGGGGAGGGGGAGGGAGGGGAACAACATGATCAATAATTGATATGAGGTGTGAAAAAGCTGATTTGCCGTCTCTCCTCTGGTGCACTTGTCACTAGCTGTTGTCAGAACACATTTGCTTTGATGGCAAATTTGAAGAAGTGAACAACAGCATCACATCTTATTACGAATTTAGTGAGTGGTGAAAGGCAGAGGCCCCTTCTCGCCAAGGCTCTGTTTGTTCAGGGTGCTCTGGAGGAATGACTACCAGGCACTGAGGTGAGTTACAGTGTTGTAAGCTGAGAGATGAGAGGAGGTTGAACTTTTTTTGTCATGTGTCAGTAAACAGTGCGCCTCGTTTGAAAGGCATCTGGATTACAGGGTGAAAAGTTGCTCTTTAAACCTTGAAAGCTTTGGGGTACGGGAGACATGCCACGTCAAAACAGAGCGTTGAGATGAGGAGTGAGAGCAGCTAAAAGCCATCACTACCCTGGTGTGTGTCTTCTGAGAGACACAGGAGTTGTCCTGCTTTTCAGAGTTTGGGTCAGGTGCATGGTGGAGCATTTGAAATGGATTTAGTCAGATCAAGAAAGATGCTTGGATGATACAAACAGAGCAGGTTTAAACAGACAAATACACCAGATCACTCTAATGATCCATCAAAAGCAAAAAGGGAAAACTTATTTCATGTGATTTTCAGGGGAAGTTAGAAAGGAGGGAAACTAAAGTGTGACATTATAAAAAAGCATTTATAAGTTCTACATCACAGAAAATATAATGTTGATGCAAACACAAAAAATGTATAAAAAAGGAATTTTACAGCCACATTTTTGACTATATTATTATCTAGATCATCCGAAAAATCTTTGCAGTTACTATAATTTTGTTAGAGTAAATCTTAATAATCCTAATGGCATTTTTAGTAACATTTATGGAACATAAATTGGCACAAACATTGAAACTAAATCTGGTTTGGGAAAAGTTCAATGCAAAATCTCAGACAGGAAAACAAATATATCAACAATTCAACATAACTGACAGCTACATTCATTTGCCCAGTCCACCCCCCCCCCCCACCACCACCACCACCACCACCACCATCCCTCCTACTTCTCCACTCTGTTCTTCCAACACCATTTCCTCTTTTAATTATCCCCAAGCAAAAAGATGGAGGACATCAGAAGCATCACGGTAAATCCTGGCCCTGGCACCGACTCACAGTGGCTCCTGCGTCTGGCAGTCCCGATAGAGCCTGTGCGCTGGCAGTGACAAGAGAGGGAAGATGCCTGGAGATTTTCTGACAGAAAGAATGGAGAGGATGATCTCTCAGCAAAAGAGAGGTCCTCATTCTCCTCGCGGCGTGGGAGGCTTTTTTGGCAAGCACTCTCCCATCATACCACATTTTCAGCACCAGATTAACCAGCTCTCTGGAGCAAAACTCACACACAGTCCCTGTTTATGCCTCAGAACCACAGTGTTTTTGTAATGACTGTTAGGCAAAGAGCACATTGGAGGCACTGCAAACAGGCCTGTTGTCCTATCTCTTAGTGCAACATTTTTAGTGGTGAGACTTATTGTATAGAGCCGAGTCAGAGAGAGCACAATTTTGATTAAGGGAATGTGATTTGTTTTCCATTGAAAGAAGTCTCCTCTGACCTGAATTTTAAATTCACATTCTAATTAGTTATCAGCTGGCCAAATGGGCTTTTTCTTTTAAAAGCTGGATAGATGAAAAACATTACAAGTTAACTACTGCTCTGGTTGCTTTCTGTCAAAGTTTTTCCCCCTCTCTTTTTGGGGTGCGCATCAATCACAGAGGTCCCCAGTTGACAGTCATTCTGCAGGCTAATGGTGTCGTCATCTCCCACACGATTACATACATTGCACAATGAGATCCTCGGACAAAGCAGAGCTGCCGATCTAGCCCCCTGCTCTGTTCCCCTCTCCTTTCCTTTTCTTCCATCATTCCGACATGAAGAGTGGAATGCTCCACAGCGGGTAGCTTTCTTCTCCTCCGGGGGGAGCTGAAAAAGCAGGCGAGGGCCTCTGTGATGTCAGTTTCCCTTCAGGGTGGGGGGTGTGGGGGGGTGGGGGTGTGTGTCTTGTAGCACAGCTAAAGATGATCATTTGAGATCCTGTGAAATGAGGTTCCCCTCTGGAAGCCAACGAGACACAGAGAGGGTCAGGGCCCTGACTAATGAGTTAGGGTTAGCTGATGCTGCCCGGTGATGGAAATGAGAACAATGACAATGATAACAGTGGCAATCAGTTTTCCTTTTAACGTTTTGGATTACATATTGTATTCCAACTCTTTTCTTAGTTGAAATGCTAAAGGTAAGGCAGCAGCATTAGGGGGAATGGAGCTCTGCTCAGATATACAAAACTACTTGTTTCTGTATCAAAGTCTTCATTCTTCATTATTACTTTGTACTCTCACAAGTACAAAGGTTTCACCATCAATAAGGACGATAAAAGAAGTCATTAAACTATGAACATGAGAAAAACATAAACAATTGTCTCTCATCAATTCTGATTCAATTTTTCCTCCCAAAGTAAATATTTGCTCCAGAAACCTAAAAAACAAAGCAGCATCCCATCCACCACAATTACACAGCACAGTGTGATGAAGGGGATATCAATGGTCTATTTATGTCAGAAAAAGAGCTTCAAACAGAAAACGTACTAAAGCCTATGAGAGTTTCAGGTCAATCAGTGATCAAAGGAGCCAAAACTTATCAACTTTGTTTATTGACAGTGAACAATGTCATATGGTTCTGGATAAACTGCCAGAGTAGCAGTGTCTTTTGTCCAGGAACATAATGGCTATTATGTCTTTTTTTTTTTTTTTTAAACATTATCCTTTTTACAAAGTTGAAGCTGCAAAAAACAAACAAAGTGGAGAGGGGGGCACGGGCTCTTTATCCTGATGAAAGAGTAAAGGATGAAACTGACCTTTCTGGCATCAGCTGGGCTTTCAGAGCACAATACATGACTGCAATTCTTTCTGGCCTTTTCCCCTTCAGCTCTGGGCTATGCTATCCAAGCCAAAGACTAAACATCTATCATTTTATCCAAAGACTCAAACACACTGCCGCCCCAAACTCCACCTTTTATATCACACAACATACACGCACACACGGTGCAGTTCTGTCTGTACATCTGCAAACAGACCAGTCCCGTCTGGCATCACAGTACAACTGCAGGCTATGGAAGCACAAAGAGACAACAGATCACTGTAGATTATATCAACACAAAAAGCTTCACTTGGTCCACAGAACTGACACAACTTTCCCTTCAACAGGAACTAAACAACTACTGAGCTGTGATAGAACATTAACTTAAAGCGCCTCTTGAAAGTCACAACTGTTTTAATATTTACCATCCTACATGAAGTGAAAACCATGAACTGTACCAATGCAGTGAGTGGCCCCCAAAAATGACCTAACCCAGCGTACACTTTACAGGCTTTGTAGATAGGGGGCTGCGCACCCAAAGGGCCTTTGTGTGACATTTCAAAAGGCAGCACTACAGGGTCATGACAGAACAAGGGTCATACAAACACAAAATAGCACTTGTATGCTGTTCATTTTTGGGAGGGGGTCCCAATTCTATTGGTAAACTCTAGCAGACAAGAGATAAGTTCCCCCTGAGCTAACAGACAAAGGGAACAGTAGACGGCATCTGAAAAGGTAAAGAGTTGTAGTCCCTGACGTGTCAGAGGCTTCATTATCTGCAGGAGAGTATAAAAGGACCTGCAAGTGTGTCTAGGGATACGGTGCGCAAACATCCACAGCCCTGCAACCATGGGAAAGGTATGAGCTCACATGCAGTCAGGGAGAATCAGCATTGACATGGTGGCAGAGTAGGAACTGTGTTAGAAATTAGAAGCTAAAAAAGGGAAAAAGAACAGCAAGAGTGATGATATGGACTGGAGTACAAACCCTTATTTTTGTACTTTAAATTTGAAAGGAGAACAAGATTGAACAGAGATTAAATATGTTACTTAGATGAAAAATAGACCAAAACAGTGGTTTTGAACATCACTTATTTGACTAAAAATAATATCCTTGAAAGGTCTCTAAACTTTGAGGAAACATCTCTTTTCATATTCTTTCAATTTCTTCTCCTCTACAGTCTGTCTATGGGTAGAGCTAAATTAAAATGTATACATTTTGTACAATTTTGAATGATAAATGCTATTACTCTTTTAAAGATTGTCTTCTACGAGGGCCGCAACTTCCAGGGCCGCCACTGGGAGTGCAGCAATGACTGTATGGACACCTTCAGGCACTTCAACGGCTGCAACTCCATCCGTGTCAGTGGCGGTTACTGGGTGACCTATGAGAAGCCCAACTACATGGGTTACCAGTACATCCTCGGCCCTGGCGAGTACCCTGACTATCACCACTGGATGGGCTTCAACAATTGTATCCGTTCCTGCCAAATGTTCCCTCCCGTAAGTCAATCAAACAGACAGATAAGACTGATCGTTTCCCCCACACCCACCCCCTACTCACCTTGTACATCAAAAGCTGCTTTAGAAATGGATGTCAATCACGAATTCTTTGATGTCATTAGAAATACACACACAGGTCACTGCATAAAAGCCTTTCCTGAAAGGCCCACAAGGAGACTAAGTCAACCTTTAAAAAGAATCTCATACAGCCCACATAAGACTTTGTGCCTTCACTTTAATTCTGTTAGTCACTGAGTGTTTCTGTCAGTTTAGGGAGGATGAAAAAAAAGTTCTCTCATCCTCTAAGAGCTCTTGCTTATCCTCATTTGTAGTTGCTTAAAGAAAGTCGTGCAGGTGCTCGCCTGAATTCAAAACTCAGTTCCGTGAAGAAAAGCTCCTCCGTGTTCTCTCTATGGTCCAAAGCGACCAAAACAGCATAGTAATCATTTTCCGACTTCTTTCACATGCAGTATAGAGGATCCTACAGAATGAGGATTTACAACAGGCCTGAAATGATGGGACACACTATGGAGTTCATGGATGACTGCCCCAACGTGTACGAGCGCTTCCGCTACCGCGATATTTTCTCCTGCAACATCATGGAGGGCTTCTGGATCTTCTACGAGCACCCTAACTACAGGGGACGTCAGTACTTCCTGCGCCCCGGAGAGTACAGGGCCTGTGGCGACTGGGGCTGTCACAACCCCATGGTGGGCTCTTTCAGGAGGATGAGATTCTCTATGTAAACCCCACCAACACACAGCTGGCATGAACAATAAAGATCCCATTTTAACATACTCCTGTCTTTTGTGAGCTTATTGGAAAACTCCATACATCATACAAACATGAGTGTGAGACACAGTGATCATTTTGGGAATGGTAAATGTAGTTTGTGCACGTTTAACCCACGGCAGTCTGTTGCCTCAGCTGAATGAAATGTGTCTAAAACCCATAGAAAAAAACCCTTTCCTCTTAGCTGTCCTGTCTGCCCTCACTGTGAGCATGCAGGTTAACTGGCGTTCATGCCAATAAAGGCAGATGTAGCAACTCCTATTGAAGGCCTCAGAAAAAAAATGCCATTGGACGGTATTTTCCATAGATAGACAGAGCTTTTGCAGAAACAAAGCGGTCCAGTAGTGTTGTGCAGTCTTTAGAGCACACTGTGCTGACACGACAAAGCTTTGTTTCATGTTTACAAAGCCCTGATCCCAGCAGGGGCTATAAAGAGGTCTGGTACAGCCCAGCTTCTGGTCTCATCTGAACTTAACACAGTTACAATGGGAAAGGTAAGCATGAGATTTAAAATCTATGCAGCTACCGAATTACAAAGATTTAATGAGCAGTATCGTTTCAAATAACTAATGACAGAATTTGATTATATAAAAAAAAAGTGGAAGAAAAAAAATCAGTAGCCACTTCATACAAGTAGATATAATGAATGGTAGAATCTGCAGAAGCAAGTTTTAACGAAATTCTTAAAAAAGCTATTAAAAATGTAGACTTCTTATTCATCTTCTGTAAAGGATACTCTATATTATAATAATCTATCCTAACAGCTAGCCATTATACTTAAAACATATCAAGAACTTCAGATAAATCTTGGTGAACTTGAAGTTTTCTATGTGCAATATTCTTTGTATTAACTTTGTTTCTGTCACATCATTTGGAGTGTATTTTATTCAGTCTTTTGCTACTATGTTAATAAAAACCATTCTCAGATCAAAGTAACGTGAAAATCTGGATTTGGATACCCAGTAATACAATGCTGGAAACTGTGGAAGCTTAAAATTGTATCCTTGTCTAACGGTCTGAACAGTAGTGAGAACTATGTGCTGCAGTTTGTCTTTGGCATAGCTCTGCAGCCATGCTGAAACGTCCAAACATCTATTGTGCAGATTGTGTTCTACGAGGATAGGAACTTCCAGGGTCGCCACCATGAGTGCAGTAGTGACTGTCCTGAGATGCACAGCTTCTTCAGCCGCTGCAACTCAATAAAGGTCGAAAGCGGTGCTTGGGTGGCCTACGAGAAGCCCAACTATTCTGGCTATCAGTACATGCTGCACAAGGGAGAGTATCCTGACTACCAGCGCTGGGCCGGCTTCAACGATTGTATCCGCTCCTGCCGCTCTGTGCCACCTGTGAGTTTTCAAACTGTGTCGTGTGTGCAGTAAACTTTTTCATTATGTTTGGGATTTTTAAACTCCTAAACTCTCTGTATAACACAACTAATTTCACAATAAGTGTTGGCCTGTTCAGGGCGGTTTATTGTAAATGATAGAACATGTACCTTGAATGGAAGTGTTCTCTCTTCCCCACCCCTATAGTACAACGGGAACTACAGGATGAAGATCTTTGAGCGGTCCGACTTTGCAGGCCAGAATCTTGAGCTAATGGAAGACTGCCCAGATCTGCATGAGCGTTTCCACACCCGTGACATCTCCTCTGTCAACGTCATGGAGGGCTACTGGATGCTGCACGAACACCCCAACTACAGGGGCCGCCAGTACTTCTTGCGCCCCGGAGAGTACAGGAGGCACAGTGAGTGGGGCAGCACTAGCCCCACCTTTGGCTCTCTGAGACGCGTCACTGATATCAACTGATTTGCAACCTTTTTTCACCCTTACTGAGCCACACTGTCCTCATCCTCTTGTATCCCCAATCCCAGCACTGTTTCAGTGCGGTCTCACCACTGTGGTGTACAAACCTGCAATTACACACTTAAATGATGAGGGTTTTAGTGTTTCTGATATTGGATTCAGGATTTGATGGGTTGCTTTGCCTCAGTGGGTAATGGTATTATCCAACTCGAGCAATAATCATAGTGAACAGTGATCTTTTCTTTTTTGCTTTGGCACACCGTTGCAAAATGGTTTGCTTTGTGAGTCCCCAACCCTCTGTCCTACTACAATAAATGAAAAACTTGATGAGTCAATCAAACGGAGCATTTGTTCATTTCCCACTGAAAGCAACAGATATCAGCATTAAAAGATGACGAGCATTTGGCTTGACATGAATCCCATTACTCGACAATGGTGATTGAACTTAAGTTTCATCAGCTCACAGAGCAAGATGTATAGTACAACTTTTAAGGTCCCAGCTACACCATGAGTCTCCACAGCTTTTATAAGATCATCATTTCATATACACAAAGAAAAAAGATATCAAGGAAACAGAAGCCTATTCTTTGAAGTTAGCTATTACAGACAAAAAAAAGAAAAAGAAAGGAAGTATCTGATGATGCACATGTTAGAGTCTTTATGAGATCACATGGTACAGAGTAAGCGCTTTGGGTCCATGAAAGATGCCCATATTAGATCTACATCACAAGGCCAGTGCCAACTCAAAGAGCCAGAGTCAAAGTGGCCTGGTATTAGCCCCGAGCATCAAGCTCTCTCAGTACAAAAAAACAAAACCCCGTCTGCATCCCTGCTCATGCATTTTTCATTGACCCAAGATACTAAGCTCTTTCAGAAATAAATATCAATTATTGAAATTGTTAATTAGACGCTGAGTAATTGGCGAAGAAATACATGAATAAATAACTTTGACTATTAATTATTGATTTGAAAAAATTTGAAGCCCAGCAGGGAGAGCATTTGAGAGTCTTAAGATCAAGCAAAGCAAGAAATATAAGTTTTGGCCTTGAGTAATGTCCAATTAAAGGATTGTCAGCTTTGCTGTGCACATCCAGTGATTTGCCCTCATCATCCTGTTTTATATCCGTGGACAACAATGCCCAGTAGACAACACAACATCAACAGGGTGCAGCATGGGATCAGAGCGGCTGGGGTCTGGGGGCAGTTACTCATAATGAAGATGAAAAAAGAGGAGGGATTGTGAAAGATGAAATGAAGAGATGAAAAGGAAGGCTGAGACAGAACTGGAAGATAATTTAGGCTTGTAAAGGGCAGTAGTTTCGTACATCAACTGTGTTCAAGAAGAAAATATTTTCCAACAAAGAGCTAAAAAGATCAAGTCTGTTTAAAGTTTATGTATTCAAGCTTTACATGCTCACTATTATTCAATATCACGACAACTATGCAAACATGATGATATTAACCTAAAAACTCTTCAGTAGTGATAATTTTCCTGATATTGCTGAAATAAGCAAATATGAAATTTTCAAGAGCCACAAAGTTCAGTAGCAAGAAAGATTTGGGGAAAATACTATTTTTTTTTATACAATCTGACCATGAAACTTTCATTTACTTGATTCTTCTTTGGATTTACAGCTTACAAAACAGTGGAATTATATATCCTGAAAAAAGATTTGGTATAATGTAAAAGTGATTATTTGTTTAAATAGGTTTCAAATAATAAATTCAGTTGGTAACCCTGTCAGTGCATGTCAACACCAAACTACTGCGTCCTGTTAAGCTGAAAACTGCTTCTGTGCACGATTACACCTGAATATCAGCTGTAACTGCTGCAAACAACTCAGATCCACAAGATCATCTGAAAAACAATTTTATGAAACACTATGCACCAAAGAAACAAAACTCAGCGTCCCTGAGTTGTTCCGTCTTTACCTCAAGTCATTTAGATGACATTTTCAATCGATTCACACATAAAAAGGACAAAAGAGTGAGATCCGAGTTATGTCTCCTCCTTTATCTCCGAATCCTTTGGACTTAAGATGGGAAGCTGATTGAAGGGTAAGTAGTGCGTTTTGGAGAATGAATTCTTTAGATGATGGAGAAGAGAGAAAGACAAAAAAAGAATCATAGAAACCCAGAGCATAAGTCTGTGATTCCATTATTAGTCTCAGTTCTCCTCTTCCCCTTTTTCATTTCTGATGGCTGGATAATTAAACCTCTATAGTATTGTCTTCCATCTTCGTTGCCCCACTTCCAGCAATGGGAATTTCCCTATGGGCAACTTTAAAAAGCTCCCTTTTAGACATCTGTTTTTCAGATCAGTGTGCCTTATCTTCCACCCTCCTTCACATTAATTTGTGTTCTTTGTGAAAGTAGAAAGACTACTGCCAGGACAAAGATGAGCACACATGCAAAAATTCTCAAAAATTTCAAATGCAAACAAATCAAAGACAGCAAGAAAAATACACAAATATTCTTTTTCAACTTTTATTCTACATTACCACCATTAAAAAACCCAAACCAGTCCTTAAGCGTGCATTGCAAGACATCAGAAAGCAGCTCAGAGGCTGGAAGGTTACAGAGCTTAATTGAAAAGCAGATTCATTCCACCCTCCAGCTTCAAGAAGGCAGCTTGTCAATTACCATTCCTGATCTGACAGACGCTTTGGGCGTCCCAAGAAACAAGCAGGAGAGCAGCAAAGCACAACTTATAGAAATGAAATTGAAAAAAAGTTTAAAATCAGGAAAAAAAGTGTGTATCTACTTTATATTAAAAATACTGCCTGTTTGAAAAATGTTTATTCTTACAATATCAAAAATGTGATTTTTTATCTATCTTTTATCTGTCTTATTCAATCAATTTTTGCTTGTTCTTTTTCTTTATGCTGATGTAATCATGGAAGAAACACTATACTGCAACTGTAATAATGTCAATGCCAACTGTGACATGCAGAAAGTTAAATATAGAATTTCAGAAAGTAACAAAAAATAGCCCTTTTAAATTAAATTATATCACTGGGGTCTTGTTTTTGAAAGACAAGAACTTTAACGAAACACATACTATGAATCCAAATAAAAAGCACAACCATCAAAATTTAGCAGAAAAATCCAGCATTTACCCCAGATTGGAGACATGTCACAATTTCAGTAGATTTGCACAGTAAGACTGACTAAAAGCATGGCATTCCTACACTCCATAATTATCTATAAATTATAAAACATCATTAAAAAAAAGACAATACGAATTTCTCCTGATCAGAGCTTCCTCCAATTACGGCATTATATTGAGATGTTGTGCTGTGATTTCCACATAAAGTCCATCAGGTTAACTTACCATAAGTGTGATGAGGTAGAATTAAAAACATCTACATCTGTAAACCTTTCATCCCTGAACAAAAGCATGTGCTTAACTGATGGAAGAGATCACCGGAGTGCGGTGTGCTTCAAAATATTACACCTGGAACAAGCCTCCGTCTTCATAAAGACGTTTGGGAAGTTTGGGAAGTTTATGCAAACAATTTGGAACAAAAACAAAGTTAACTGAATGTGGACCGAATAGCTGCCCTAATTGTTGTCTCTTTGCCCCACAGCGAGACTTTCATGGAGGTACTTCCTGGTGCCGTGCTCTGAAAAGTCAGCTACGGTATGTCCCTCGCCCCTCAGGATCCATTTTGTGGTGAGCAGCCCCTCTAGGCCCACAGGGCCCCGGGCGTGGATACGAGCTGTGCTAATGCCCACCTCCGCTCCTGGAGACAGAGAGTAAAATAGCAGGAGTTTTCATGTGGGAGGAGAATGTGTTCAATTACTCCAATGGAGTCTGGGAAAAAATATGCAGGCTGTTTAGAAAGAAAGAAAGAAAAATAAGATGCCAACCCAGTCCAAAGCGGTACCCGTCAGCAAAGCGTGAGCTGGCATTCCAGAAAACACAAGCGCTGTCCAGCTTCTGAAGGAACTGCTCAGCTGTCTCCTCTGGAAGAAAAATCTCAATTACTGGCAAAACATTGTTACAACCTTATGCTTTTTGAGCAGTACCACTGAATGAGTCTTTCTTGAATTAAATAAATCAAACTGCCATAGAAACTTATCTAAAAATAAGTGTTGAACTGTAGTTAAACAAGAATAATCTGTAAACATAAATGTGTTCTTGTTTTCACTTAAACAGCTCATTTACTGTTAGACCCACAGCATTCATTATATATGTATTTCAATACATCATTAAACAAATCTTATAGTGTTCATATTTATCATTTGAAATATGTGTATCCTGCTTATGTAATCTGACATCTAGTATAATCTTAAAATTTGTATGTTTCCAGGGATTTATAAATTCCTCACCTACTCTGGCATGTACTAACAAATAAATTAAGTTAATTTATTGATGTACCTTCTGTGGCCACTAGATGGAAGCAATACATCCCCCCAGGTTTGTGAGAACCACAATGCACAGATGAAAATGGCAAACTTTGCCCTGTACTTTTCAAATGTTGCTCAATGTTAATTTGGGTTGCAGAAAGAAAAGCGCAAAATAAAATGCATGGTACAAAACAGCATATGTTTGTTCTACTTTATGTCCCCGTGCTTGTTTGCAGTACTCCAGTTAGGCTACTTTAACATTCAAATTGGTTTTGACATTCAAGCAGGTCAAATAAATAGCAATAGGTTAATGACTGTCTTCCCGAAACACAGCCTCTATGTCAGGTAACAAATGGATGTGGCACAGGTCAGTTTGTATCCAAATCATTTTGGAAGACGCTGGAATATAGCCCACATCAAAAGATAGAAATATGACTGTGCATAATTCAAAGTTTTGACAGGAACAAGTCAGTTAAACTGATTACCATCTGCTCTGCATTTTAAATGGACTTTGTCCTCAATACTAGAGTCACAAGGGAAGAGTGTGCACTCATCCCGACAAAAAAGTGTCACTGCACATTACTTGCTATGGCAGAAAATGAGATGGGGTGAAAGATTTATTCAGTAGAGTGAGAAGGACAGTTTGAGGAGCTTGCTGGGAAAAATGACTGACTGAAACTGACAGGTGTGGCTTTAGTCGTGGTGAGGTAAAATGTGAAAAAAAAAAGCTTGTCTTCTGGGCACGACGTAAAAAAAAGAAAAGCAAAAGAAACAATAACTGAGTGCCATCAGCAGCACACTGTGCCACATACCATTTTCTGTGATGATAACATCAGTGTGGGAGCTGCCATACTTATGTATGTGTTCTACAGCCTCCTCCATGCTGTCCACCACCTCCACACAGCACTCCAGGTCCCCGTACTCCGTCCGCAGGGACTTGGCCTCCGATGGGCTGAATGTCAGGTACGAGGCAAACCGTGGGCCTGCGTGAATCTTCACCTAGCAAAGCCACATTAAAAGATATATTACTCAAAAAAGACCAAGAATTATTTAACTAAATATGCATTATTTGAATAACTTTAAGATAATTCATTTTCTTTCCCATGTTTCCTCTTTGTCTCATAGTAGAAAAATCCCAGCAGGAAACCACTTGAACCTTGAATTTGAAAGAAGACTCACCTGCCATTTTTTGGCTTTTCCCCTCCAAAGGGTGAATGACTATCTTTTTAAAAGATTTTTAGTAAGTGGAAACCCATTTCGTGTTTATTTATGGGCTGCAGAGAGCCAGACAAAAGACACGCTTTGTAGAGTCAGACAAAAAGGAGCATTGAGAATGTTATTTTTATATTCTGATCAGCCTGTGAATGATTTGTTACCAAAATTTTATAATAGTTGCTTTTTATACCCACATGGTGTAAGGGAAGGGGTTGGGAAAGATAAATGTGAAAGCTCTTTGATTCATGAACCAAACACCAGCTAATCTGCCCAAAGTCAAGGCAGCGTAGAACACAAAAGTTTGACTGAAAACAAAAAACTCATATCCTCTATAGAGTTGAGGCTTCAAAACAGCAGCCAACAAACAATGAGTGATTCGATGGTTAATGACTTCTGCGTTCACGCTGACATTGACTTATCTGTGTGCATTTCCTTACCCGTTCAGTGCGCAGCATATCAACCATCTGGTCAAACAGTGGGGCTCTGAGGATGTCCCGGTGAATTAGCAGAGTTTCCATGGCATTACATGCAGCTGGATAATCACACTTAGAGTCTCTGACTAGAATGAGAACGCATCAGTCAAGAATTGGATTCCGAGCAGTTCCACTACTATGAGGAAACCTATAAGGGAACCATGTTTACCGACCAATTTTTATGGCTTTGTCAACACTGGCATCTGCATCAATGTAGACGTGACAGATTCCTTCACTGTGACCAAGCACCGGTATGCCCTTGGCAGCCCGCTGAATGTCCCGCACCAGCTGGGATGAACCTCGAGGGATAATCAAGTCAATCATCTTGTCCAGTCGGCACAGATCCTCCACCTCCTCGCGAGTACTGACCTTGGAAAGAACACAAGTTATTTGAACATGGCAAAACATACAGAAATACAGATGTGTATTCTGGTCCACTTGGCGAGACTTGCGAGGTCAATATGCCTATCTAATTACTCAATCAGGATTACGAAAAATAAACATGCTTGAAAAAAAAAACTTTTACCATCTGTACGGCTTCTCTGACTCCATGGATAGAGAGGGCTTCCTGAGTGAGCTGGTGCAAGACACGGTTGGTGTTGGCAGCTTCTTTTCCACCCTTTAACAGGAGAGCATTGCCAGTAGCTATTGCCAGAGCTGACACCTAGATAAAGAAACAGTATTGTCAAATAGAACAAAAAGGAGGGGCATGAATAGATTATGTTCATTTATCTGTAAATGAAAAAGATTTAATCAACAAAGTGGAGTTCAAACTTCTCAATATATGTCTGATGGAAGTTTTTCTAAAAGTAGTCAAACTGTATGTTTCGGCAAGTATAATGACAACTTTTCCATGAGAATACCTGTGGCAGGCAATCAGGCCGGGCCTCAAAGATGACCAGAAGAACCCCAATAGGAATTGTAATCTGCTCCAACTCCAGATTGTGAGCCACCCTGGTTCTGCGCAGTACACGACCGACGGTGCCCTGGGCTGTCTCTGCTATCTGATGCAGACCTACAGCCAAACTATGAAGTTTGGCCGGTGATAGGCTCAGGCGCTTCAGCATAGCAGGAGCCAAACGGCCTAAAACGAGTTAAGTGTTATGAAAAGCTCTAACGAGCACATCCATAAAACTGAGGAATAAATCATCACCCTCTAGTGGTAGTATAAATTTTCACACTTGAAATTTGAAGGCTTTACACTTTAAGTTAGTATTGTGCAGCACAGCTTGCACTAGATAATGGTTCTTTATCGACTAATTGTCTCTAAGTCTAGACAAACTGGCTTCCTCTTACCTGTACTATAAGCCACATCCATGTCCATCTTATTTGCTGTCAAAATCATTTCCTTCCTTTCAGTCAACAGCTCTGCTAGATGGCGGATGATCTCACTTCTCTGAAAACACAGTCAATCAAATACAGGCAGACTCAGCATAAGTTGTTTCATTTCCACATCAGTTCGCAGTTTCAAGTTTTATATTTTCTATGGCATTTTTAAACTGTACTCCTTATAATAATATGCCTAAGAAAATATGTAACTTTTCTAACTAAATTCTATGTCACCTGGTCTGGTTGCAGAGATGCCAGACTTCTTCCACAATTCCGTGCTTTTTCTGTCTGCTCCTCCACAGAAGGACCTGGAGCAGAACCGGGGAGAAGCCAAGCAAAAACGGCTGATATAGTACAGTTAAAAACAAGTAAGAGAAGGATAAAAAGGAGAGTCCAGATCTTGGGTAAACTCACCAGCAGGTTTGGTTTCGGAGAAAAAAGTCCCCACCTTCTTGCCCTCAACAATGTCAGTTATGACATGACCCGTTACTTTTGGGTTGGTGCCATTCGCTATAACCACTGAGGTGCCACCGTGTAACGCCCAAAGTGCAGCCTTCACCTGCAGACGAGACACTTTTAAACCAGCACAGGTATCTTATGTTTAAGAAGTCTCTTACAAAGCAGGACTGATGAATGAGAGCTCGCAGTGAGATAAGTTACGACCCAACTTGTTAGACCACATCTTATAATGGAGACTGAACATTGGCATTTCTTTGATAGAATAAATATAAGTAAAGCCACACAATAAGCAGCAGGAGTGCAAACCAGGGAAGCTTTATGCCCACTTTCACAGCAAGCAAACTAATATGAATAATCAAAATCAGCCACCACTCAAAGACTTTTGTATGGCCTCTGTGAGGTTAGTGAGGATGCAGATGGACATAACAGAAACACAACAATTGCTTTTGTCATGCCAGGTGTAAAAACTAAATTAAAAGAAGCCAAATGTTAACATATAGTTTAAAAAAGAGAAGAGGTCTTGACCTCTTTCTTATGTGCTGTGCAAAACAAATTTGGATTAATAAAACTAAATTGTCCAGCTCTGCTTCAATTGTCCAGATATTAACATTAAATCGTGTCAGCTCCTCTAACATAATTTGTTTTTGCCGTTTGACATTCTACATAATTTTCTAACAAATTAGGTCTCTAATATAATGCTTTTGAACCTAACTTAAAAGTCAAATCTGACAAATCCATGTGTGAGGGCCTCTAACATACCTTGGCCTCCATGCCTCCAATTCCAACTCTAGACTTTGTGCCATAGGTGATGGACTGCTGGTCACCGGGGTAAAAAATGTCAATAAGCTTGGCATCATCTGTTCCAGGGGGGCTGTTGTATAGTCCTATGAAATTAACACTTATGATTCATAAAGACCATCCATCCAAACAAGAAAAACTATAATCAAGATATTACTTGCAATAAATAGTATTGCCCATTAAAATGATATTACCACGTGTGTATATTTAGGTCAAAAAGCAAGATGTAATTATCTAATCTAATGTAAAAACTCCAAATGTTCATCAATGTGAATATTATTTGTGCTACCAGTGAGCCTCAAGCCTACTCCTGCCTGAGCAGCTGTGAAATTTATGCGCATTTTAAAGCTTTTGTCAGCCTCATCAGCATCCGGCTGAAACATGAATGCGGGTCTAACTTTGTCTATCCCATCTTAATCACAGTTGACCCTGACAGTGTGACGCTTCTCCCCTCAGAGGAGCACAGACAGATGGTACTGTTACCTAACAGCCAACCCAGAATGCCGTTGTGGTAACACTTATACCTTCCACGTCAGACAGAGCGATGAGCAGGTCAGCTTTCATTTCTACGGCCAGGCGTGCTGCCAGGCTATCGTTGTCCTTAATGCTGATCACCTACAGAACCACAAAATGGATGATGTCAGTTAAAGAAAGCCACCTACAATCAATTTGTCCAGTCCTTTTCTTTTAGACTAGGATCAATCTCAAAATGACAAATACCTGTACGTTGACATACCGTGAAATGGTGCAAAATATTAGGCACCAGTTGTTAACTAATTGCAGGGTCTACTGTATCTTATCACAATTTTTTCAACCTTTTTATGAGGAGAAAAAAAATAGCAAAGGGAAGGTCAAATAAAAAGCAGTGAAGCTCCAAGATAAGTCTAAGTCAAAGAACATTTGTTTAATGTGGGTAGTTTTCCTATTTGTAATGCCTGCGAGCACTTAAATGTTAAGGGAAAAATAATGGTCAATAAAACGGCTCAGAAAATGAATTTAGTCATCTCAGCAGGAGGGAATGTACAGACTTCAACCATCAGGGCCTGTGCTATGGAGCAAAACATGTGGCTTAGCAAAGTCCTTATTACAATGCTGCTCTACCATGCTGTTTCACCAGGGTAACTTGATTTACTTGTCATTAACTCCTTAAGTGCTGTTTGCAGAGGATCCATCTTATGAAGTTCTTTAATACTTGGGTGATTAAAATCATAGGGTAATTAAAAGTCTTCTTAGCATTTCAGTTTACACCCCGGCTAATTAAAATATAATTTAGGAATAAGTAATAATCCAGCTGACTGCTTTGGATCCCTTTTATGCTTGATCATTAACATGCTTTATGAATACAACTTAATCTTATTTGTTTACTAAAATACCGAACTGTAAATCGTCAGTTTGACATCACAATGCTTTAATGACGTAGCAGCAGTACTGCAAATAATTTTCTCTTTCACAAATTGAAGATTTTTCTTATTCAAAAAGCAGTCAAGCAGTTGTGTCCCTTTTCAGAATGACGTGAATACATAACTGGGATTAAGAAGTTGATGCGATTGTCACCTTCCAGTACATAAATGCACAAATGCCATTCTGAAAACCTCACTTGACCTATCGAGTTGACCTTAAGCATTGTAGTGCCACTTCGCAAGATCTTGATTTTCAATATTTAGGCAAGCCAGATATCCAGACACGTTGAACCTGCTTCATAGCAGAGACCAACGGTCCCTTCAGACAGCCCCATAAGTCAGCTGAGCACATTTCCATCCAGAGGCTCCCAGTATGCTGAGTCGCTCATTCAGAGCTGAAGAAGAAGAAGTGAGGCGGGGTGGCAGATGGGATTCGGGGTGAATGTGTGCGGGGATTAAAATACCGCCGTTAATAAGTAGCAAATGCACTGTGCATACTAAAGACTCGGCTAACCCCTTCAGCACCCCTGCTGCCACCCTCACCACCTCCAGTGTCGCCCCCATGCTGTCTGTACCCACATTTACCCCCTGCAGGTCGCTGTCGGGCTCTGGTGGCGGCACCACAGCGTCATTGGTGTTGATGATAGGCACGATGTTCATGCGCAGCAGCTCCTGTAGAGTGCTGTGGAGATTCTGCCTCTTTTCATCATCGTGGAAATCCAGATTTGTCACCAGGACCTGACAGCACAACAGGAAGCTGGAGATTTAATGAGTGCTGCGGGTGATAGAAATAATAGAGCAGGAAATCCAGACAAAAAAGCATGTGGGTACCTGTGCAGTGCATGTGCTGTACTGGGTGAACATGGCCTCATAAAGAGCCATCAGGCCGCTCTGTCCGGCTGCAGCACAGGCTCGGGCCTCCAACACTGACAGAGACTACCACACAAATGGAACAAACCTTGTCTTTCCAAGTTTATCTGCTCATCATTCACAATCCAATCAAACTATAGTTTTAAAGGTGTAGTTGAAGTGCATGAGTTCAACATGTATACAAACACACTAACTTGGAGCTTAAGGCAGACCATGTGAAATAGAACAAAACAAGCTCCTACAGTAAGGAGGAGAAGAATTGACGTGGCTCATTACTGTACTGCTGCTCTACATTCATCACTGGAAAGATGTTAAAAAGAAAATACCAATTGGCTACATGAAGAAAAGAAAAAATAAGTCAACAAAGTTTTATTAACGTTTTAACATGATATATTAAGAGAAAACAAGTACAAAAGAAAAGAAAGAAAGCTACATCTCACACTCAATCATGTTGAATTCTTGACAGTTGAATTTATTACAGCATGACAATGGACTGAACCATTCTTCCCCCCACATCTCTTACCATATCTTTTAGCTGATTGTGTCCTGAATGCAGAGCCTGCCGGACGCTCTGGGACAGCAGGATCTCATGTCTTAATCTTTGCTTACCAAAGGCCACAGCCCCACTGGTGACAATCACCATCTCCCTGCCTTGATTCTGCAGCATGGCCACCTGGAAAACAAAATAACTCATTCTAGTCAGAAGAGCTTAGACACAAACAGGACAACTTTTTTTGTTCACACTCAAGAGGACCAGTTCAGCCAAATTCCAAAGTCATTGTTCTATTCAATTATTCATAGTGGTCCTTTTCTACCGATTTTAGCTCGATTCTCACCTGCTCCACGATGGAAGCCAGCCTTCCCAAAGCCAAGCCACACTCATCCCCACGAGTGACCACAGCACTGCCAAGTTTAACCACGATCCTCTTGGCTTGACGCAGTTCACCACGATGTGCAAAAGAGCTGCTGTGAACCTTTCTCTGGAGTGCTGCAAGAGGGCACACTGCAATGGTTACCTTACCTCCAAACCTTTACACACATTCGCCTTTAGTTGAATGCCTATCTACCAAACAATGAAAAATACTAAAAACAAAATGCTATTAAATGGCTTTGACATGACAACATATCTTTTCTTATCTTATTCTTTGTGCACATGTGCTTTGTGTCTACTCAGGATTTAGTCTCTAATTCAACTATTTAGATAAGTACAGATCCCAATCACCGCCTCTGACAAGTTCAACCCAGCAGACAAAGGAAATGCACAGAGTAATCCAGCAACTGAGTTTATGCACTGATGTATCACTTCCTGTACTTAACATGTTACAAAGCTGGACATCTTTTGCTGGGTTATTTCACTGACATACACACAGAGCAAAGATGTGGCTATATTCATCTGTAAGCTGGGAAACAGATCATCACAGCTTTCCGCCTGCCACATCAGCAGTGAAAGCAGAGAAAGCCTTTGCTGACTTTACACATCTCTCTGGAGCAATGAAGCGTATGAGGGAAAACGGAGGGAAAAAAGATGGCATCTTTTATACACTGGGATAACTCAAAAATCTCCCTGCATTTTTTTGGATCTCATCTTAGTCCTTAGTCTTTGTGCTCAGTAAATATTACTTTACCTGTAGTAAATTGAGAGTCAACTCACATGTTTTTTTACTTTGGGGGCAAGGGCAGCAGCAAATGATTTAATCCATTTATTGGTTTTCTAGGTACTGAGAGAAAATATAAAGTTTTTCTTTCAGCCAAAAGACATCTTCTTGGCATTTCAAAATGTCAGAAAATACATTTTGCTATGACGACTTTCAAGAGCCCAAAGTGATGTCCTAAGTTGACTGGAACTCTATCACTCTTACAATACAAGAACAATTTGAAAAGTTAACTTATATGATTTATAAGTTTATTTGCCATTGCAAGAAAAAGAAAAGCTTCTGTTTATCGCTGATTAGATTAGAGTTATCATTTGCACCATCTCAATATCATCTAGTAATATTCTGGCAATATTTCCATTTTTATCCCAAAAGCTTTTCTCACATAGTTTTTGAGCCAGGATGTTTCATATCTGTGGTATAATACCCACACAAAGTTGATCGAGGATAAAACAACATGGCACTTTAGTAAAGCTTGCCTTTTGTCAGTGGTCTGGTGAGCAACTGAAATGAACCCAGGGGGATCGCTGAGCTCAGGTTCAGCCTCTGCAGCGGCATGGCCATTTTAAGCCTTTTATCCATAAGAAAAAAAGAGAGAGAGAGAGAGAGAGAGAGAGAGTAAGAGAAAAGCAACAGGATGAAACAAAAACTTTCATCACAATACACTGTACAATTTGTTGAAGACGATTGCGAAATATAGACAGCAACATGAAACGTGATCCCTGGTATTAAAAAGCATAGACACAATTCAATTCATCTCACTACTTTGTGGGTAGTATAGGAATCAATAAAAGTTTGTTCTTACTTAAACTCCAATATGTATTCCTGGATGTGCAGCAGCTCTGTGTAAAGGCATCTACAAAGTTTTCCTTACCCATTCATTCCTCTGCTCATCAAATCAATCAAATGGGGCTGCGCACGTGGGTAACTCCTCCCACCAAAGAGCTGCTGAAGAGTAAACTGTCGCTGGTTGTCAGCAAGTCCAAACGGTGCGCGTTTGTGCAGCATCTGTGGATCAGTTCCACCTGTCAAAGCCGAGCTGATCAAAGCAGCATCTCCCTCTGTTTGTGGTGTTGGTGGTGGTGTTAAATAAATCTGCAATAAAGTCTTGTGAACTAGATTTGAAGTGGGAATGACCTAAAGTAATGACATCAAGATAAAACCATACCACAGAAAAAAATTGAACACAAAAATGCATCTTGTTTTCCCTGTTTTAAAAGATGTATAACATAACAAAATTGGGTTTCACAAAACACATTCCCCATCAAAATGATTTTCTCCACAAAATATTCTGTTTTCCAAAATTAGATTTTGTTGGATTTTATCCGGCAAAAATGTGTGAAATGAGTGATATCTGTTAACTTTTCTGATTTGACTAGGCAACAAAGAACATGTGTTCTATTTAGTAGTACTGGTGTAAACTAAACTGGAAAGAAATTAAAAAATCAAATGACATATGTATACATTTGAATGATTTCCAATGCATTTTTTAAGATCTGACATGGAAAGGAGCCTTTGACTGATTCTTTTAGGTGATGCGGACAAAGGTCTGCATCAGGTGTTGGCAATTACAGCTTATATCAGTAACTTACTCTATATTGTTTTCTATGTAAGAAGTTTTCATTCATTTTTGTGAGTTTTTCATTCCTTCCAATTTTGGAATGTGGAAGACAAAGAATTCATGGCCTGCTGTCCAGTTTATTTATTTATTTAAGTGGTCACCTTTTATTTACTCTTTGTGAAAAACATCAGAATGAACCTTTTTTTGTCCACCTGCTCCATCCTGCTGCGACAGAATTAAAGGTAACCCAGAGCAGACCTGACTGACACAGCTGAACCCCCACCGCCCCTGGGACAATAGATAGCTAAATTGGTTCCTGTAGCTCTGGCTAAATGTGTTTTATCCCATTATATCAGTGCTGTGCTTTTTTTCCCCTGTCGCCTGCTTTTGCCCTTTATCTAGTCTTCTGTGTTCCTCCTCCTCTTTGCTCTATTATCTGTGTGTCTCAGGCGGAGAAACTGACTCTAACCTTTCTCCTGCCTCCACTAATCCACTAACTATGTTTTGTCAAGGTTTGTGTGGGACCGTGCAGGTGTGTTTGTGTGTTTCTGTACAACCTAAACATGAACGGTTGTGGATTTTGATTTATTTTAGTCTGTCTGTCTTTGTGTTCTTGTTATTTTTTCTTTATTGTGTGAAATGTGTCTACAAATACGACTACAGGATGAATTAAAATAAAATCTGATGCAGACATTAATATCTCTTGATAATGTACCAGCAACATTGACAATGCAAGAAAGGCCTGACACAGTAACATAGTATTACTGCTGTGTTACAGAAAATTACTGCTATTAAAGTAACTGGCAGCATGTTATATGCTTGTTCCTCACCGGTGTCCAGGTAGCAGCAGGGCGGCCATAAAGTAGCTGCAGAAAATCATAAAACCCCTGTGTGCTACACTCACATAAAGCTGGGCTGACCAAAAAAAAAGTTTTACTTTCAGAAAAAAGAAAATTCTGAACTGATCATCAGAAAAAGTAAATTCCCGGAAAGGCATTAAAGACCTCAAATATTGATATTACCTCCAAACAGTACATTGGATTATCTGTAACATGGTTTCTTAAGTTTCCAGACTGATGTTGAATGGAATTATGTTGGCATTTACAGGACAATCAATTCTGTTGATGATTTTAAACACATAGAGCATTTATGAACATCAAACCAACCTGATTTGTTTTTAATTAATGCTTATATAGGGTTTTGGGATCAATTCGTCATGGTTGTTGTCACTGATGGGTTTTTATTTTTACACTTATTGTAAATCTTCAACATTTTCAGCTAAAACAGTAAACATTCTAAACTTTCCCTTGCAAAGGATGGCCAAACTTGATGTCCACATCTCCACATGTCCCCATCAAGTAAAATGGCCCACCAAAACAGGGACTAATCTGTTTGTCTGAATGATGGACTTGTTTTTTTCTTTCATAGGGTTCGCCTGAGATTGTTTTGGCTGAGCGCTCGAGGTCCTCTATACTGATTGTGTAGATATTGAGGGTCTTTTTGAGGTGGATGAAGGACCTGAAAGCCACACGAGAGGTCCACTAATGGGTGCACTGTTTGAGGAAGCTCCCTGATCTGATGGTATCAGTGCCACAGGGCAGGGGAAAGTGAACCTAACAAATGCTATCAGAAAACATGAGCTGAAACAGGATTATTATTATCTCTGCCCTAGTAGCCCAAAGCACAAACACACACGACAGTATGGATACAAAAACACACACATTCAGGTATATAAGCCAACCCAGAACGCAGTAGTTTACCTGAAGATCGATCAGGCAAAACAGAAGTGCAAAGGTAAAGCAACAAAAAGACGAGAAGATGATGGAAGAAAAGGGAAAAGAGAATGGAGTGGCAGCTATGGCAGCCTGCTACCAGAAATTTGATCCTGCGGCGTATCTACAGTACAACTACACACCACCACGGGCTGATTTCACAAGAAAAGACAGCATCGTTCCCTGGAAACTGGCATGTTTACATAGAGCTTTCACTGAAGGTAAGATGGGAAAATCAAGCTGCATTCTGCCATAACTGAAAAGTATCAAATCTAAAATGAGAATTACTTTTTTCTTTGACAAAATCCATGTTCCTTCCCTTTTAAACTTTTAATTTCTCTTCCTCTATGAATTTTTACTCTTGGAAAACAACTCTCAGCACAATCTTTGAGCATAAACATAAGCATAAGTTTTGCTATAGCTTAGATACAGCAACATATGATCATTTTCTGTCCAAATTTATGGGGGAAATTACAATCAAACTGTGAAATATCAGGACCTTGTTTGCATTCCTCAGAGTCTCACCTCTCTCCCCACTCATTGCCAGGTGACGTGAATGGGGAGCTCCTGGTGGACATTGGCTCGGGCCCCACTTTGTACCAGGTCCTGAGTGGCTGTGAGGTATTCAGCAAAGTGCTGCTGACCGACTACCTGGAGGTCAATCGGCAGGAGCTGAGGCGCTGGCTACAGGGCGGGGAGGGATGCAGCCTGGACTGGACACCATACCTACAGCACGTCTGCAAACTGGAGGGCCGACGGTAAAGAAACAACCCTTAAGCATATTGCAGAAGTAAAGCACATTTTGAGATATTCCTACAAGAGTCAGCTTCTTACACATTGTGATTGCTAAGTTAAACTTTTCTTTGTTTTATCTTACACTTAGTGAACAATCTTTTATCAAATCAACAAGTATAAATACTAAACTGGGTCATGGACCTGGAAAAGTGTTATTCATTTCAGTAGTGAATTGTTTCTGCCAGGCCCTCGGCGTGGACAGAGAAAGCGGCTAAGCTGCGTCAGACCGTTGCAGACGTCCTCCCCGTTGATGTGCACAGCTCTCAGCCTCTGGCCCCAGACGCCCTTCCTCCAGGAGGGGCCGACTGTTTGGTGTCCTGCTTCTGCCTGGAGAGCGTCAGCCCCGACTTACCCGCCTTCACCAGAGCCCTGGCTCACATTCAAAAGCTCCTTCGTCCCGGTGGCCACCTCCTGCTGATTGGAGCCCTGGGAGAGAGTTATTATTTTGGAGGTCCTGGGGTAAGAATCCCTGTGGTTCCACTAAATGAAGCCCAGGTTTGTGATAGTTTAAAGGAGAGTGACTACACTCTGATCAGACTGGAAGTTTATACTCTGCCACAGGACATGAGAGTGGGAGTTGATGATGTGACAGGAGTATTTTTTGTAAAGGCAAGAAAGGAATAAAGACTGAAATGGCAGAGATTGTTAAAGAAATCATGAGAAAGTGCATTTTGATTGTCAAGAACAGTGAGTGTTTAAAAAGAATATTGCAACAGAGATAAGTAACACAAAAAAATCAGGAAATGTTTCTCTTGTTCCATTTCATTGTCTTAGTTTGGGATTTTTCTAAAAGCCCCAAACTCTGCTTTTGCTTAAGTTCTTATTGCTAATATAAAATTAATTTAAGATTGCCACAGCAGTTTAAAATCAGCTTTTGCAGCATTAAGATTGTAAATGCCAGTTACTGTATGTATATTATGCAGGATAATTAAATGGCAAACTTTGCATTTTGATTGAATTCTGTGCTTGTATTTATATATTCAAAATCTAAATATTTAATTGATTTAGCTCCATATGCCTCCGTGAATAAAAACAATTTGTGTCCATGTACCAGTATTTTACTCGGCCAATACCTTGCTAAAATATTTTCCGCACTGTTTAGAGAGTGAGAGATCCCAATAACAAGCTGAGTGACATCTATAAACTATCCACGATCAAAATAAGAAATAAAGATATAGTAAAAAGGAATAGCATAATTTATGAGCAGTTCCATGCATTAGTTTTATTGGTGCCTCACAGTTTTAGTGGGAATCTCATGCTGTGGTGTAATTAAAAGCACTGAACACTAGGTGGCACTACCTGGACATCTTTAGTGACTCCTTGTGCATCAGCTATGAATGCCACAGCATTTTTAACTGTAACTCAACTGCCTCTGATGAAATGGATGGCACATAGAAATTATCCTCTGATGTCCTCTAAATGACCTTTAGTAATCTTCGATGTTAGCAAATTGCTTTGATTAAAAAAAAAAAATCAAGCTGATGTTGGCTGCATCCAGATACATTTGTGATACATGCATAAGCATATTTAATGCTCATCAACACCAAACAGCACTTAGCCTGTTTCAGTTATTTTATTTAAGATAAAAACACAGTCAAAAAATGCATATAATCACTCATCGTGCACACCAGAAAAAGAGTTTTGAGCTATATTCAATGTACATGAAAGTAATTTAGTTTTCTGGTTTGGCGATAGCATTGGACGTTTATGGATTAAATCAACTTTAGAAGTTTTGAATTAAACTGTATATTTCAGTTTAATGTCAAAATGAGGAAGGCAGCATCATCACTCACCATTATCATCATTATCATCATCATCATCATCATCATCATCATCATCATCATCTTCATCATATTGATACGGTGTGTTAAAAATCTTTTCTAAACTCCCATTTTTTGGTTTAATTGATCTTGCTCGTAAACATCCACTATGAGTATACACCCTGCAATAAGTCCCACTTCATGAACTGATTTACAATTTCTGACTAATAACTGGATGTAAAAATAACAAATGACCGCTGTATTTAGGATCATGTTGCAAAAACAAAATCAACATGATACAACAGACAAAATACACAGAACGAAATCTTATGTTAGTAAAATATGTAAAATATGAATTTTTTTTTCAAAGTTAATAAAAACTACAATTCTCATGTATCACATGCTTTCCTGGTTCTTTTCCCGACAGCTGTTCATATTTTTCCTTACATTTTTTCACATAAAGCCTCCACTCTCTTTTTCCACATTCAGCTTTTTTCCTTTTCTGCATACAAACACTCACAAATCTAAAAAAACACACTCTTATGTACAGACATGCATGTACACGCACACACACACACACACACACACACAAGGACCATGTATGTATTGTACAAGGCAATTCCTCACAAACTCTGCCTTTTTTTTGTGTCATTCTCCCTTTCCTTCTTCACTTTCTGTGGCCTTGTCTTCGTCATCGTGGTGATAACTGAGCCCAGCCCTTCCAGATGAACTGTTCAGCAGATCACAGGGATCTCTTGGTTGCCTGCATTCGTCTCTTGGATCTGTCATGGCAACAATTTCAGAAACGCAATCAAGAGTATGTTTTTTTGATAATTGTGAAAAAGTGCTTGACTGAATTTCCCACCCACTTGTAGCTAAAGCTGTCTGCTGCCTCTCCTTGTCATGCTGCTCCTCTTCCTCCTCAGAAGATGTCTCCCCTCTGTCCACTGACTTCATATCAAGGGAAGACAAGTGGGCTTGAGCCATCCTCTGGACAGCTAGAAAACAAAAGAAGAATAAAAAGGGAACATTTTATATATGACACATCATAATGTGCAATATAAAAAAACAAGTTTATTATTATTATTATTACATTATGCCAAAACCCTGACCATATTGTTTTATTGATATATGGAACCCAGTGGAACTCTAACTCAAAGTTGTTGGGTTCGTCTTTTCTGGGTATACTTAGTTTTACGAAAAAAACTCTTAACGTCTAATCACATAAAGATTAGATAGATAGATAGATAGATAGATAGATAGATAGATAGATAGATAG